TAGTCATGCAATCTGGTTCAATTATATATCTCCATATGACATACTGTACTAAAAATACTGGATTAATGATTAGATTATTCCGAAATATTTATAAATACAGAAAAATTTTGTTTCAACGAAAAACATGTTTATCACAGTTCGGAAATTATTCGTTTGTCAAATGATTTTGATTCACTCACGTCTGTTTGTAATTTTTGTTGACGCGCAAAAAAGAAGAAAAAAAAGTAATTATGCAATATTCCATTTGTAACACGTTTATGAAGGAAAGCTTACAAGAAGTATAATATAATTAGGCGTAATCATATTTCTTATTCCACAAAAACATTTTTTCGCAAGGAATAAGGACGGAATTATTCGGATGTAAATTAAGTCGTATTTAATGCAAATGAAGAGGTCTATCTCTTTGTCATTGTTTTCGTTCATTTCTTAAGTGGCGCAATTGCGAACTAAAACTTTATTAATAAATAATGTTTTTAAAATTTAATTTAATTTAAATTTATTTATTAATGCGATTTAAAACGGTATTCGTAACAATATATATTCAATTTCGAGAAAGTTCAATAGAAATATCATTTATTTTTCGTTTCTAGCAAAATAAAAATTAAATCCTTAGAACCGTTCTCCCTTGAAGAACCCTTAAATAGTTTACAAACTTTTTATTATGTGTGTGTGTGTGTGTGTGTGTGAATAATAAGATTTTCTGTAATATTTTGCTGATTTATACAACTGCTGCATTAAAATTTTTTAAGTAATTTAATTGCGATAGAGCTTTAAAATATCTTCAGATATAATACTTTCCTAAAACAAAGAAAATATTTTCAGATAATACTTTTCTTTAAAAAAATTCATGAAAAATTTCAAATTTTTAATCGTTAATAATCGAAACATTCTCGGTATCGTTTCCGTAAAAAAGACAAAACAATGTAAGAAATTTGAGACACACTATATGCAAACTGTATATACAAAAAATACAACACGCAAGGATGAATCTATATATAGGTAAGCCAAGCCGACCGTGGCCCAAGGTCTTGGTCAGCTCGAACCGACCGGACTTGAACTGTCGTTATGAAATGAGGATGAAGAGAATTTCACAACTTTCCACTTTTCATTTCTCATTATTGCAAAACTGCCTCGTACATTGTTAATTCGGGAAATCTTTTTGTCATTCAATCCCGTTTGTACAAAGGTACACATATCTCAAAGATCCGCGCAAGCGTTAATTATGTAAACATCTAAATATTCCATTTTTATTCATTCACGATTATTTCACGGTCAGTTAATTTGGACTTTGGCAAAGTTGATGTTTTAATTATAAATTCTGATAGATAAATTTAAATCTGTAACAAATAAGTAAGACACACAATCTAACTTCTATGATGGTAAAAACTTGTCAAAACTTCCACAAGAATTGTTTTCAGATTTTTATACAGTCTGGAACAACATAAAAATCTACACCGAAACTCAAAGGCCGACGTTGCTAATGGAAGGTGCAACATTCTTTAGATTTATCTGTTACTTTGATTTTTTAATGTGTATAAATGCATAAAGTATCGAGAGTATTGAAAGTATTGCATCTCTTTGTTAAACTTACTTCTCGAGATCCGTGAAATTGTAATGATTTAACTCCGGTATCGTGCACCAATGCTCGGCAGGCACGAGAGTGAGGAAGAATTGTGCGAAGTATAAAAAGGCGTAAACGAAGGTGAATGGTAGGAGTAGGATAAACAGGAACCACTGGTATCTGCTCGCCTCGCCGACGTACGGTAGGATATCGTCGAAGGTCTCGATCTTCGCGGGACTGTTGCCCTCCTCGACTTTCGTGGTCTCGACCATGACCGCCGTAGTATCTGGAAAGAGCAACAATAAGACACCCTTAGAGTTTATTACAACTTACGACGAAGAAAGGTCGCCGTGTATCGCAGGTATTCACGTGGACGTGAGGTCCCGTTTGCTAGAACGTGAGACAGGAACAAAGAATGAAATGCATAATGCGATAACGAGGTGAGGTACCTCGGTATCATTATGCCGTTAATGAGCCGAGTGGATTTGCGTTTGTATGTGACGAGCGCACGAAAAAGGATACTAATAGGAATAAACAAAAGACCATTATTACGGCATAGCGAATACTGCAACGCACATGTAATGAGAGTCCGATTTTTTAAAAGAAACGTATACAAAAAATTAAAGAAATCCTATGATATACGTTGCATATATTAATTGTAAACAGTAATTGCAAACAGTAATTGCTCAGTTTTTTCGTATACGTTTCTTTTCAAGAATAGGAGTCCTGGTCTTTGTCATTAATTATAATATTTTTACGTTAAATACTAAGTGACAAATGGACGTTGTAAGTTATCTCGAAAGAGAGGATTTTATAACTATCGAGTCGAAACGTATGGCAATTCGAACTACTAGTAATGTGATGGATCTAGTGTGACGGAAATCAAATGTACGCAAGATTATATGAAATAATAGGTCTGTTCGTTTTAGCTGAACTTCTTGTATGGTTTATCTTTCCTTTTTTCCTCCACGCTGGGCAAAAAAAAAAACATAAACTGTGTAAAAAGTAAAAACTAGCTAAAAGTTAGCTAAAAATTTATACACGATGGGTATAAACAAAACACTAGACGACATAATATTAATGCTTAGTACGCAACTACACACAATGGATTATTTGTGTGCTAGGTTTAATTTTCATTACTTTAACTATACAAAAATTATTTAAATAAAGGAGAGTCTTCGGCATGTAAGAGCGATGAATTATCTGCAAAAAATCCCGCACAAATCTCATGAAAAATGGGTTTTGAGCAAATTGCTTTAAATTTTAATATTTTGTAGTTCATATCAAGCTATTAAAATTCTTCGCAAGCACAAACCTCCAAATGTTTCAGTTTTTGCTCTAAGACCTTCGAAAAATATTCGTATTTTATATGAACAAGTACAAAAAATTGAGAATCTTTTTTATCTATACTTATAATAATAATAATAATAATAATAATAATAACTTTATTGAGTGCAACTGTTAACATTAAATACAAATAAACAGATAGAAATACAGTAATATTCGATATTAGCTACACAATAATAGACGGGACGACAGCTAAGCTGCTGATTTAAAGCCTAAATATTAGAGTAAATTTTAATATTACGAATACATGAAATACAGGCAATCTAACACAAATAATGTAATATAATTATATATATTATGATATGTTATCATATTTATGGTATTATGTTTATCATTTTGAGTTTTACGCTCATTTTCAAAATTACCCGGAACGTGAAAGTGACGGACGTCTCATTCCTTTAAAGTGCTTGATTTTCATGAGTCTCCTTGCCTCTTTGGAAATCCTAATATGCAATATCTTGGAATTAGAAAATAAAATAAAGTTTTTTTCCAGGATGTTTTATACCGTAATAATATTTTTCAAAATATTGAAAAATATGATACTTTTTTCGTGACATTACGACCGACAGTTTTTTCCTGGAGCAAAAACTAAGGCATTTGGAGGTTTATGTTCGTAAGGACTTTTAATCAGCTTAACATGAGCTGTTTAAAATATTAAAATTTGAAACAATTTGACCGAAACCCATAAGATTTGTGCAGATGTGTGTGTGTTCTTTAGGGTTTCCTCCTGATTAATTCTTTATGATTATTTTTGAAATTTCTTTTATTTTTACCTTTTGACATTTTAATTTTAAAGCTCTTAAGTTTAATTAAAGTTTAATTATTGTAATTCATATGCGACTGAAAAAAACTATGTAAAATCAAAATTAGTTTCGTAAATTGTAATAAATTAGACATATTTAATTTTATTTAATTTGTTTACAATACCCTTCTCGTCTTTTTAACTCTTTTTTTGTATTATATTATATTGGTTATTAAATAATTCTTACATAGTTTAATATCTTTAAAAAGTATTTATAAGGTGGTGTACTGTATTAAAAAATTGTATATAAATACGATATATAAATGTTAATTATATATCGTATAATAATTAATTACTTAATGAGCCTAGTTTTTAAAGAAAAAAATATACAGGATACAAATAATTCAATAAAAATAGATGATTGAATATTAAGGAATATTTTTTTCTAGTACTCTCTTTTGGAATCTCATTTATATTTGTAATTTTTATTCCCTACGTCGTTTATCCTTGCAAAAATTGTAAAGTTCAATTGACACATTATTCCTTATTCGCTTCTTATTTATTTTGAGAATCGGGATTGATGTTTTTAAAAACAACAAGCGCGTGCGATTTGAGACATTCCTTGTTGATAATTCTGCCTAATGTTTTCTTCGAAAGTATTTGGAAAAAAATATGCGACTTTACGTAAACTTACGAATATAAATAATTCCGCAACCCACTATATACTCGTCGCTTGTCAAATAAGAAATAAAAGTGATGTTGTTGAAAATTTACAAAATATCGAAACAATTTGTTGTATGAAAAATTTGAATGTCACATTAATTCAGTACAGAAGCAATTACATTGTGCAATTACATATCGTCCTCGACGAGATACGAGAAACTGGCAAGTAAGTCATCAGCACTAATAATGCAAATCAGATATTCATAAAGCGTGATATGTATATTTATGGGGATTTACAGGGATTGCTTTTAATGAAAATTACAATTTGCATTAAGTAAAGAATAATCGAACGAGAAAAAAGGAAATATCGAAATATCATAAAAATAATGCAATCTTGTTTAATGAATGTATTAACCCTCGGATCGCGATATGAGTCCTATTTTTAGCACGAGCAAAATTTCACTTTCAAACAATTCTCCGAAATAAAGGAGGACGGAGTCAGGTTACCTCTCCTAAAATGTCTTATTAAAAAATTATTTTATAATATAATAGAGATGTTAAAAAGTAATCCTAAATTTTTGAAAAACCTAGAACAGTAAAAAAATTTTAATTGGACAGAAAGAATAAAAATATGATTGCAAACGGAGGATCAATAATCCATTTCTTCTACTAATTTATTCGAATCTATTATAATTATCGCCTTGTCGCGTTGATCAATTTGTAATATCTTGCTTTGTTAATTCAGCTTATAATTTCATTAATATTCTTTTTACCTGCTTTGTTCATTGAATCAATACTTGCCCCGTTTCGGGTGATCTATCAACCGTAACATATTTTCTTATCACGGAAATAGGAAATTTCATATGGCAACGTAAATATAAATGACTGATACTTCACATGATTAAAAGAATATGTAATAAATAATATGATGTAAAAATAAAAAAGTAACACATTTAGAAAATAAACACGACATATCAATATTTAAACATCTATAAAAATATCAGATTTTTGAAATTTGTCATTATATTTTCAAGCTTTATTGTATTCAATTAAAAAAATAGAAAAAATTGAAAGAGAAGTCTTTCTTCTAAAAGAAAATTTTCTGACATTTATCTCAAAATTATTCCATTATGTAAAAAAGAAAAAGAGAAAAGACATCCGACGTTTGATATTATCTAAAAGGGAGATCAACAATTCTTACCTATTGAGCCTTCGTAGTGAGCAAAGAATCACAATAAGTTGATACACTTTTGTGTAAAAATAAATTAATTAATCCACAAGACAGAGATTCACTTTATGGACGCTGATGAAGTGAAGAAACGAAAAAACTATATTTCGAGTACAAGATATGTAACCCTATTCCGGTAGGGCTTGTCTCGCGGGATCGATTGTAATCGCGCGAAAAGATCACCGTTGAAGAAATCACGATTTTTCCGATAATTCGGTGTCGGTCGATTTTCACGCACTACATCATCGTTTCGAGAAGCGCGCGGACTGTCGGCGGCGCAACCGATTGGTGGGGCTTTATAGCCTTCCACTACAGATACAGAAAACCACGCGCTTCCCCACCTTGATGGGACCGGCAGCGATCGGTAGACGCAGCCGGTCGGAAAGGATAAACGCGACCTGTTGTCGACGCATGGTGTCGCAACGGATCGCTGTCCGTGACGTCAGTGAAGAACACATGAGGATTATGAGGAATAGGAATTTCACAATTTTTTGTGTCGCCTTCTCTCGCACGCACGAGTCGCGATTTTTCCCGATAATCCCGATCGCGCACGCACTTTTTCCGCGAACGTCATCGCTTTCCTCTGCGTGAGTCGCGACCTTTAATCAGAAGTGGGCAAAATACTAAAAAAAAAAATTGTCAATATTGGAAAGTGGCTCAATGTTAAGAAGGTTAAGTAAAAAGGAGCATACAGCCACGCTAGAGATGTCAAAAAGTTATAATTCAATAATAAACATTTTACATAGTAGACGTTTCGGTCACGATTTGACCATCCTCAGTACAAAAATAAAAATAAAATAATAACCTTAAACTATTTAAATCTAATTATTAAAATCTTATTCTTAATGTTAGTAATATCTCGCTTCTTCTTATGCGTTATTCGCATTGATGTCCGCATTTAACAATATAATGTTTTTTGATACAATCAATTAACATAAATTTGAACGAATTAACGTTAGAATGTACAGAATTCCTCTTTTTTCTATCGTGTGGAATCATTTCCGATTGTAACTATTATCAGGCTGTCTCAAGTTCCAAAAAGGACGACGAACCAAAAAAAATTGTATTTAAATACAAAATACTCTAAATAAAATAAAAATGTATTCAAATACGTATTTTAAATACATATTGTATTTCAAATACGCCCACTCCTGGCTGAGATATAACGCTAGAGATTGTTCACCAAATGTAAACAAGGATAAATAATGCATTATGCACATTATGCGTGAAGTGGAATTTTAGATTGAGTCAACAATGGTTGCGATTAACGCTCATCAAAACAATTTTTACATAATTTAAATGTATT